GTGGTCCCCGGGGGACATCGGGCAACTCGACCCTGCAAGGGGGGTCTGGATATGAGTTACCCGGTGGTCCCCCGTGGGACATCGGAGTCACCGGGTGGTCCCCGTGGGACATCGGCCCATGGGACATCAGAATTGCCCGGTGTCCCCCGTGGGACATCGGAATTACGCAGTGGTCCTCGTGGGACACCGGCCCGTGGGACATCGGAGTTACCCTGTGTCCCCAAGGGACATCGGGTAACTCGACATGGAAGGTGGGGTCTGCATGGGCATGAGTTACCCGGTGTCCACCGTGGGACATCGGAGTTAACAGGTGTCCCCCCTAAGACATCGGAGTTACCCGGTGGTCCCCGTGGGATTTCAACCCGTGGGGCGTCGGATATACCTGGTGTCTCCCGTGGGACATCGGAATTATCCCGGTGTCTCCCGTGGGACATCAACTCGTGGGACATCGGAATTACCCAGTGGCCCCTGTGAAACATCGGAGTTACCCAGTGGCCCCCGTGGGACATCGGCCCGCGGAACATCGGAGTTACCCGGTGGTCCCCAGGGGACATCGGGCAACTCGACCTTGCAGAGGGGGTGTCGATCTGGGCATGAGTTACCGGGTGGTCCCGGTGGGACATCGGAGTTACCCAGTGTCCCCAGTGGGGCATCACGACGGCGACGACGAAGACGACGACGACGAAAACGACGACGACGACGGCAACTTTCCCATGTGTTTTTCACGGGCGGCCCCCCTTGATGAGTCAAAAACCCATCGGAATTTCAACATTTTTGCGTTGGAGCCCTTGCCTCGGCGCGTTGGCGGTGAATGCGCGCGACAAGCGCTTTCGGTCGCAATGTGCAAACACCAATTTTTTTTTGCGCGTTCAGGGGGGCCGTGCGTGGAAAACACCTGGAATTCGACGACGACGACGAAGGACCACGACGACGACGACGACGTGACGACGACCTCTTGGAGCCGTCTTGGGGCCGTCTCTGGGCCCTCTCGGAATCGTCTGGGAGACCGATCTCGGGGCTTTGTTGGGATCGTATTGGGGCCCCTTGCAGAAGTCTTGGGGCCCTCCTTGGCTTTCCCAGGGCCCTCCGGCGGAGCCCAAGAAGGCCCCGAGAGGGCTCTAAGAGGGGCCCAGTAGCTATGTACCAACCGAGGGCCCGCTGGTTCATAACTCCAGGGCTTCTCTTGGGGCCAACTTGGGCCCCTCCTGGAGCCGTCTTGGGGCCCTTTGGGGCCCTCTCGGGTGCTTCTCAGGGCCCCGAGGGCCCTCTGGGCCCACAGAGGGCCCCAAGATGGCTCCACGAGGGCCCAAGGTGGGCCCCAGTATGTATGGACCAACCGAGGGCCCGCTGGTACATAACTCCTGGGCTTCTCTTGGGGCCATCTTGGGCTCCTCCTGGAGCCGTCTCGGGGCCCTTTGGGGGCCCTCTCGGGTGCTTCTCCAGGCCCTCGAGGGCCCTCTGGGCCCCCAGAGGGCCCCAGGACGGCTCCACGAGGGGCCCAAGATGGCCCCAAGAGGGACCCAAGAGTTATGTACCAACTGGGGGCCCGCTGGTACATAACTCCTGGGCTTCTCTTGGGGCCATCTTGGGCCCCTCCTGGAGCCGTCTCGGGGCTCTCTGGCAGCTCTCTCGGGGGCTTCTCGGGGTCCAGAAGGAGGAAGAGGAAGAGGAAGAGGACGAGGGGAGGTAGGAGGAGCTGCAAGAGGAGGAGGAGGAGGAGGAGGAGGCAGAGGATGAGGGGAGGGAGGAGGAGGAGGAGGAGGAGGAGGAGGCGGACGAGGAGGAAGAGGAGGAAGAAGACGATGGCATCAATTTTATGCTCAAGAACTGCCACCATCCAGAGGTCCAGAGGAGAAAGAGGAGGATGAGGAAGGACCCCCCAGAGTCTGGGGGCGGCCCAATATAACAGCACTTTTTTCAGATTCCTCCTCCGCCCCCGCCTCCGCCTCCGCCTCCACCTCCGCCTCCGCCTCCGCCTCCACCTCCGCCTCCGCCTCCACGTCCGCCTCCGCCTCCGCCTCCGCCTCCACCTCCGCCTCCGCCGCCGCCGCCTCCTCCTCCTCCTCCTCCTCCTCCTCCTCCTCCCTCTGCTTCCCATTCCTCGGACTATGGCCCAGAGGGGTGATGTGGCAGATGAGGGGCGCGGGTTCGTGCAGAAGCGACCTGCCTGTTGGCTCCCATGGGTGGGGGGGGCCCATCACGGTCCTTGGGGTAGCCGTTCCCCTAGGGGGGTGATGAAACCGCGGACCTATGAAATCTCTGGTGAGCAATTACACAGGCGTGCAGCGAACGTTCAACAGACCGGCAGTTTGTATATCATTTTGCATGGGAGCGGCAGCTGTGAGAGGGTCTGGAGGTGTATGATTCAGGTTGTCTCGTCGCACATAGGCATGTGGTCACGTGCCCGGCCAGGCTCAGCTGTAGGCGTTCGCCGTCGGCACTAGTCCCAACGGGATCGGGGGTGCCGCACTCTTCGCAGCGCAAGACAGCTCGGCCCTACCGCCTCAAAGGGTGCTGACAGCCGCTGCTTGCCCGCCGTCGTCTCGTTTCGTGCCGAGGCATGGGTGAAGATAAATGGCCCGCTCATACACTCAGCCGACCACGAACGTGCTCCCTGCCGATTGCGTCCGCCCACGGGGAAGGACCAATGCGTACGGGTCATCAGGACTGTTACCGCTGCCGTCCTTGCTTTCTGCCAGCTTCTTGCCAAAGATATTTACAGTGGTGTCTCATGACGACCCGGCTCCCTCGGGCTCAGTTGCCTCTGATGGAGGGAGAGTGTGTCCCAGCGTGCAGTGCCTTGCTATGCAGGGCGGGCGGGCGGTGTGCATGGTCAGACGGGTCTGAGGGCGGGTCTGGCTGAACCGAAGACCCCTCGGGCGAACATAGGGGAGGGGCCCCCAGCGCCGATCCGAGAATTCCGCGCGGACCTCCGAGTTTTGATGTTTATGTCACTTGTTGTTCCCATAAAACAGGGTGAGGTAGAGACATTCGTAGAGACAGTCTGACGGTGTTCGTGGTCAAGGCTGCCTGCCGGCGGCCTCGCCGCACGCAGCCATGCGGTCCTGCGCCCGCCCAGGCCCGGCAGCAGACGCTCGCCGTCGGCGCTGCAGTCCAGCAGGACTAGTGGACCGCACAGTTCGACCTGCAAGTGCTCGCCTTCCTTCCCACGCAATGCGCAGATTACCGGCATTGCCTGTTGCCTTACCAGTTCCCGTGCCAGGAAGAGAAGATCACTTGCCTACGCAGGTATTCCATGAACTAGGGAAGGCGCACCATGTTGGCCTCCTGCACCACATCGCGACGTACCAGCTTGTCTACATTGTCCTGGTTCTGCTTGCAAGCCTGGCCAGGCACCGAGAGCCGCGGTGAGCCTTCCCGCCCTCTCCAAAAGCGCAATGATAGCCGCCCTGTTTCCGCCGTGTCCTCGATCTCGCCGTGCTGGGGCGAAGAGAACTCTCCCACTCAGGCGCTGCGAATGACCGCAAAGGTCGGCTGCGCTAAAAGCCAACTCACTTTAATACCAGCTGGCCACAACATGGTCAACCCCCCATGGATATCTTATTCCCCAGTCTTCTCCCGCCCAACCGCTCCATGGCCGCTTCGTTTTCTTGTCATCATCCCACCGGGTTGCCCCCAGCCCGGCTGACCCCCACATGATAATCATGATGATGACGACGATGACGATGACGGTGACGGTGAAGATGATGATGATCGTTCCCTCACTATGCCAGACAACCATGCAGCGGCGCTCTTCCTTTTCATCCAGGCGACACAGCATTCAGCAAAGGCTTCTCGAAGGGCTTTGGCGCCCTCTCCCTGAGAGCGAAGTGAGCGGATGTCAGTTCCTCAACAGGGGGTTGGGCGGAAGACCGAGATCAGAAACTTCAGGATACTATAAGAAAAAAGAAACTGCGCAAGAGTATGAATGCTTGAATGTTGGCATTCAAGATAGAGCTCCGCATCTTAACTTGTGGGCAGCTGAGCAGAATCAAAAGGGTGGCCCGTGGGTGGGGACCAAGAAACTGCGGAGATGCGGCGGCACGGAAACAAGGATACATATCTCAGATGGGATAATCCCTCCCTCACGATGCCAGACAACCATGCAGCGGCGCTCTTCCTTTTCATCCAGGCGACACAGCATTCAGCAAAGGCTTCTCGAAGGGCTGTGGCGCCCTCTCCCTGAGAGCGAAGTGAAAGGATGTGAGTTCCATATACACCGAACAGGAGTCTGGCAGCAGGCCGCCTTGTCAAGACACGAGACTGTTCTGCACGCGTCAGCGTTTGAAAAGCAGGCAGCAAGAGCGGAACAGAATTTGGGAGGATACGTCTCGGCCGTGGAGGTGAGGAACACACCACGGCTGTCTTTTCCGACGAGTTCGACGTGCTTATGCTTTGAAAACTCGCAAATACCATGCTTGGACGCACGCAGTCGGCCACAGCATGTGAGGTCAACATACCAGTACCAAAACAACACGCGCGTTTGCGCCATGGCTTGCCATAAGCACAAAAATCCAGAATGGTTTCCCGCACCTGGGGGTGGCCACGGAGCTGCGCTATCGGCAGCGCCATCCACAGCCTTGAGGTGCGAGGATTCTCGAGCGAGCCGGGAAGCTGCATGTGCAAGCAGCTGCGAATTATGTTGGCTGATGCTCTCATGAGCGTGTTGCCTACTGGGATATTATCACTGTCTTTTGGGGTCGCACTGGCCATGTGAGAAGTCCCCAGGATATCATCTTTGCTGCGTAAGGCAGGTGGACCATTCGCGCGATCACGAGCCCGACTCCAGCTGCCGCAGGGAGTCCCAAGGTGCAGGCCGCGCAAAAATCCTGCCGTGATCCACCCAACGATCAACAGGACATTCGCACGCTTGGTAAGTGTGAATTTCTCGCCATGCTTCAGATCCCACTCTAGACACAGCCACCCTCGACGTCCAAGGGCGCGCGCAAGGTGCCCGCTCCCCGAGAAGATCTCGAGAAAGACAGCTGGCGGCCGCGGGCTCAGCGGAACAGCTGCGGCACCGGCAAGGGCCTGGAGCGCCCGAGGAGGACCTCGCCGCACATGGGGTGGCAGGCGCGGCAGTGGGCCTGTAGGCCCGCGGGGAGGCGAAGCAGCTGCTCTCGAAGTCGTCCTCCTTTCTCGTGCCGTCTCACGGGCGAGTCCGAGAGCCACCTTCCTCTCTTCTTGATTTCCACCAGCATCCTCTGGCCGCTCGCCCGGTCGTCCGACGCGCCGGCGCGCCGCAACTGGTGCGGCGCAGGCGGCCCGAGGATGTTCAGGCGCAGCTCGTTCACCACCTCGCCGAACAGCTTTGCGAAGTGGAGCTGCCCTATCCCGATGAGTGGCTCGTCTGGGTGTGCTGTCCGCCTGAGCTGGGCGAGAAACCTGCGCAGCGCGGCGTGCCTCGGGTCGTCGAGCACGATCGAGTCGTCGAAGCGCCCCGTCTTGGACGGCTCCCCCTCCTCGAACCTGTTCAGCTGGAGCACCCAGTGAACGCGGCCCTCGCCCGCGAAGGCCCCCGGCGGGAGCAGGTCCGCAAGCTGGGCGGCGGCCGGCCCCCCGGGCCGCAGGTAGCAGGTGGTCGCCAGCAGCGCCCCTGCAGCGGCTCTCCGCTCCCCGCGGGCACACATGGCGACCGCGATGGCGGCCACCACCTCCACTGGGATGGGCAGCCCGGCCCGGAGTGGCGACAGCCTGAGCCACCCCTGCGCCGCCAGCCGCGCGCGCGGCAGCCTGGCTGGCCCGTGGCGCGAGACCTCCGGCACGAAGAAGCCCACCGCAGCGATCACCTTCGTCCCCATCCCCGCGTCGTGGCCCTCGAAGTACAGGCACTCCAGGTACTCGGCCAGCGTCGCGTCGAGGGCGCTGGGCGGGCTGAGCGGCAGCATGCGGTGCTCCGCCCAGTCCTGGAGGCTCTTCCACATCTTGGAGTACTGGAGCCTGGAGTTGGGCGCCACGGCGCGCATCTCCAGGACCGTCCTGTGGGCCCCTCTCTCGTCTCCGTGGGCCGCCAGGCGCAGCGCGGCTGAGTGGCCCACCCTCGCGATGGGGCGCCTTCGCCCCGCACCCCGCTTGGCGCCCTTCAGGGCGCTCGTAGCTCGGGGCAGCTGGTCCTCGTACACTGGCGCGGACACTGTGCTTCTGCTGGCGGGCCGCCAAGCGCGCAGGCCCTCCTGGTCGGAGCCGCGGCTGAGGCCCGCAGTCGTCCGCCCAGGCAGAGCACCAATGCGCGACCACTTCCTGTCCAGCACCTTCGACTCTTTCAGGAAGGCGGTCCTCGCCATCGTCGCGGCGGTCAGCGTCGGCCATCCGGGGCGGCGCGCCCGCTGGGTTCCACTCAGACGGGCACCAGCGGAAGGCGGGGACCACCCCGCGCGCCAGACATAGCGCGGCCCACTGTCGGCAGACCGGGCACAATCCTGGCGAGCTGCTCCGCCTTTTGCACAAAGCCAGAATTGCCGCCATCGAGTCGGATATGAAGAGAAGACGGGCATGGAACGACCTCGTGTTCCGCAGACGGTGCCTGAGGGCCCACGCGGGGGCCCTACCCTCCAAGACGGTGATGCGCCCCTTCCTCCCCCACCTCCCCGCATCAACGATGTCCCAAAAAAGTCCCAGAACATGTCCATCATCATGAGGAAGGAGAGGGAACTCAGATCCAGGAGCGCGCTCATCTCTGGGAAAACGAGCCTTCGACTGGTCCTCGGGCCCCTGCATGTCGTTCTCGGCGAATAGCTCGGGGAACTCAGGGATCTTCGGGAGGTCCAGCTTGGAGCCCGTGGGGGTCGTGGGTGAGGGTGGGGAACGCGGTGGCGAAGGCGGGGGTTCCGCGCCCTGCAACGGCGGGGGTGCTTCGCATTTCTCCTGCTCTGGCGGCGAGGCATCTGGACGAGCAAAACCTGCTGCTTCACGAGCGCTGACCCGCTCGCACCCGTTCTTGAATCTCCATCTCTCATTCCACTACCCGCACTCCCTGACGACGGAGGCGGGGAGGTGGGCATCGACAACTCCTCGCCCTAGCTCGGAGGCGTCGGTGCAAGTGACGCAGCTCGACCTTTCGCGGCGCCAGGGCCTGACCTGCGGTGCCAGAAGATCCCGTGCCCATCGCAGCTCCCGGCGTACCGACGGCCACACGTTGTGCAACTCAGTTGGGAATTTCTGAGAAAAGGAATAAACGGCATTCATGCAAGAGAGGGTCGGCCGCTGCACCAGCGCACAAAAAGTGAAATGGCCTACGAGCTGCCGAAGCTCACGGCCCGAGAGCTTATTCCGCGTCAGGGCGTGCTCCAGCGCCAGCCGCAGGCGCCAGCGGCGGCGGTCTGTGGCCTGAACGCCAGCCTGATTGCCTCGACGCAGCTGCCAGCCGAGCAACTCCAGCTCCTGGGTAGCGGCGACCTCCTCGTGAGGCTGCAGCCCTGCCGCGCGGAAGGCACCTGCTGCCCGGGCCACCAGCAGGTTGGCGGCCTCGGCAGAGCGGCCCACAGCCACGAAGTTGTCGACGCACAAGCCGATGAACCCCTTCTCTACCGACGGCAGCACCCTGTTGTCGGTCAAGAAGCCCCCACCTCGAAGTCCGGGAAGGCCCGCGTCAGGATGCGACAGTGGGCGAGCTGCGCCCAGTAGAGCGCGCGCGCCCACCCCATCGGCATCGCGGCGAACCTCGGCTGGAAGAACCCATCCACGGCCTGGCTGAGCACGTCCGTCGGAAGGTTCAGCTTCTTCACAGACTCCTTCGGCAGGCCGAAGTAGCAGCGCAGCTGCCTGGGCAGCTCGATGTAGTAGAAGGCATCCTTCAGGTCCAACGCGGCGAACCACGCCTCGGCCTCGCCCTCGAGGTCGATCTCCGAGAAGGCGCCCCCGGCGGGCAGAGGCGTCTCCTTCGAGTGTCCGAAGTGGGCGTTCGAGAGGCGGGCGAACATCGACGTCCTCTGCTTCCCCGACTTCTTCCATGCTCCAAAAACTCCACACTCACAACTCACGTCTGTGCCAAAGTCGATGAGCCCGCGCTTGAACAAAGCCTCCACGAGGTTGGCGTAGAGGCGCGGTCGCTGCGCGAGACCGCGGTCCATGTGGGGCCGCCTCAAGTTGAGCGAAGCCTGGATCTCGGCCGCAACTTCACTTGGCCAGACAAGTTCCTCACAAAAACGCTCGATCTCCAGCACGCCCCCGTTCCCCAGGAGTTCAGCCAGCGGGGCGGGCCGATGACCCTCCGGAGGAAGAGACAAAAGGCAAACATCGATAGCAGCAACGTCCACACGCTCACCGCGGTAGTCGGCGGACTTCACCACCTCGCTGAAGGCGGTGGAAGAAGAGAGGCCCTTCGGCGGCTCACCCATGTCAATCACCCTGTTGGCCACGAGCTCGCTGGCGATGAGGGCGGCGCCCCCTGGGGCGGTGCCATCCGGAAAGAAAGGTGCGTGATCCCCACCTCCAGCGAGCTCTCCCAGTGCGCGGCAAACCTGACGATAGCCAAGCATCCAGAGCGGAGGCGGCAGTGAGAGGGAAAACGCCCCTCTGTATCCGCCTACAGCCAGGGCTGATGACCGGCGCAGCTGCACGGGGGTGGTCAGGCCCCGCGCGCCCAGCGCCGCGCCCAGTCGCCGCCTGCCGGGCTCCCAGCGGTGACCGTGGCTCAGTCATTGCTTCTTGGGGCGCGCCAGCTCCCGCTCCTCGCGGGCCTTGCGCGCCTGCTTCGCGATGGCGGCCCCCCCCTCCAGCTCCCCTGGACACGTGCTCTATAAGAGGGGGGGGGGGGGGGGAGACTACCCCCCCCCCCCCCCCGCGGCCCTCGCCCATGAACATCTCCTGCTCGTCGAAAGGCAGCGCGTTCTTGCCGAGGGCGTTGCGGTCCGCGCCCCTGATCTTCTCGCGGTCATAGTACTCGATGAGCTGGGCGCGCCTGCACAGGTGTTCGATGCAGGCGAGGTTGGCGAGGTCGAGCTGGTCATGCGACCCTGCGTGGGCCAGTGCTTTCATGACCGACTCGTGCTTCGCGGCCCCCCAGCCGCCGGCGTTCAGCTTTGCAGCGTGACGACACCACCTGTGGTGGTCTAGGGGGGTGCCGCCGTGCGCACCACGTCCGAGGAACGCCACGCACCAGCTGCTCGTCCGAGGCCAATCGATCGGCAGGTCGACCAGCGGCACCTCTGTGATGCCGTCCTGGACCTCCTTCCAGTCTCGGTGCCGTTTGCCCGAGCCTCCAGCGTACTTCACCCGCATGACCCTGGCATCCGTCTCGGTGTCGATCATGCTCATCTCATTCGTCGTGTGTTCCTTTCTGAACTCCTCCTCACGGCCGATTTCGACGCGCGCACTAGCGATCGAGGCGCCTGGCTCCAGATCCAGCGCCCCTCTGTCACCCGAGGCCACGGCCGTGTCGTTGAGAGCGGCGCGTCCACCCTTCTCGCGGCCGTAGGCGGACTCCGCGAAGACCCAGACGGTGCCGGGCGGCGTCGAAAGCCTGGGCCCTGGCAGGGCCCCCAGGTCGAGCAGAGGCGTGGCGGTGCCACCTGCGGGCGCCACCAGTGCCCCCGCCGGCGGGGACGGCAGCGGCGGCAAGCCCAGCAGGCCGCGCTCGCTGTCCACCAAAGGCTCCGTCTCGGACATCAGCCCCTCGAGGTCCACCTCGACCGGCGGGGGGTCGAAACCGCACATCTTGCTAAGGTGCACTCCGATCGGGGTCGTACCGCCAGCAGCGCACACGCGCACCGCACGGATGTCCCCATCATCAGACGCCTCCAGGCGCTCGACGTACAAATCTTCGTCCGGGGTGAGGATGAACCACCACTTCGTCTCCGAGTCCACCTCCCGTATCAACAGCCTCGTGTGCCACGTCGTGTCCCCCGCGTACTTCAGCAGCACGAAGGACCCCGGGCGGATGCCACCTCGGCACCAGGCTGGCGGCTTGACGCCAAACTTCCCCATTGTTGACGCGGCCGACGGCGAAGCCCGCGCAGCAACTGCAGCACCCCACGAGGAGGAGGAGCGGCACCACGATCAGCCCAAGGCGTACTCCCAGTGATGCCGATGTGCGGCAGCTGTCTACTGCCACGTCGAACCTCTTCTCGCAACCCTCGGCCGCCGTACGCCAGCCCTCGCAGGCTGCTGACACCAGCGTGTCGCTCGGCAGCGCTGGGCCGCCGTACCACTGGAGGAGTCCCACGGCAGCCCCACGGGCTATCTCGGCGGGGAGGAGCTGGACTGTGAAATCTCGCATGTATCCGAGGCACGTCTCCAAGAGAAACTGGCCCATGCAGTGGGCTGGCCAGTTCTCTTGGCTCGACCAAGAAACTGCGGAGATGCGGCGGCACGGCCACAGGGATACATATCTCAGATGGGACAACGATGACGATGGTGATGATGATGAAGATGATAATGATAAGGATCATGATGGTGGAATTGCTGTTGATGGTCATGATGGTGATGTCGATGATGGGTTCTGGTGCTGTTCGTGCATGCCGAATGGAACACGTTTACGCTCGTCGTTATCAAGTGTGAGTCCACAGAGGGCGTGAAAACAACGTTGCTCTCCACGTGACTGCGTGGCCGTGTCGTGACGGCGTGTCTGTGCGGTCACGGGGTGGACATGTCGCAACGGCGCGACCGTATGGTGGCGGCGCGACCGCGTCACCTAGCTGCACTGGCCTTGCCAGCGATGATGACGGTGGTGGTGGTGGTGGTGGTGGTGGTGGTGGTGGTGGTGGTGGTGGTGGTGGTGGTGGTTGTGGTGGTGGTGGTGGTGGTAGTGGTGGTGGTGATGGTGATGATCATGATGGTGATGATGGCGATGATGATCCGAACGCTGATGCTGATGCGGATTATGATGATGATGCTGATGCTGATGATGCTGATGACGATGCTGATGCTGATGCTGATGCTGTTGCTGCTGGTGATGACGATGATGATGATGATGATGATGATGATGATGATGATGATGATGATGATGATGGTGTTGGTGATGGTGATGGTGATGATGATGATGCTGATGATGATGATTAAGAGCATGATGATGACGACGATGATGGTGATGATACTAATGATGATACTGATGCTGATGATTGATGCTGGTGCTGGTGCTTATGATGAAGAGTGGTGAGGAAAGGAGGACGTGGTGATGAGAGGGGTGGTGGTGCATGGCGAATGTGGTGGTCGTGGTGACGATGGTGATAATAACGGCGATGGTTGACGGTGCTGATGACTACGACGATGATGGCTACGTGCTCCTTCTCGCGCGCGGGCACGCGCGCGCGGGCTGCGGGCTCCGCGGCCCTGGGCCGGCCGCCGCCCGCCCCTCCCCGTCCACCTGCAGAGCCGGCCAGGCGCGCGGCGGCCCCGCGGAGGGGGGAGGGGCTCTCCCCCTCAGGGGCCCCCCCCCCTCCAAAGGAGGCTCCTCCTGGCTCCTCTTCCTCCTCCTCCCACCCCTCCTCCTCCTCCTGGCTCCTCCTCCTGGCTCCTCCTCCTCCTTCTACTCCTCCTGGCTCCTCCTCCTCCACCTGCAGAGCCGGCCACGGGGCTCTCCCCCTCCAAAACTCCGACGAGAAGATACATTTTTGTTCGATGCGGGCGCTTTTCCTAGACTGCCGGCCTCCAGGGCTCGTGTCCGGCCTCGATGCCAGCTCTGGGCGCGCGCACTGCAGCAAAAGTCATGCCGGCGGATGCCAGGGGGGGGGAGGGGGAGGGGGGGAGGGGCTCTCCCTCTTTACCCCAGGTCGCCTAACTTCGCGTATCGCGCCCCGCGGTGAGCGATCGTCCTGGAGACCTCGCGAGGCCATCCTGGAGAAAGGCAGCTCTGGTTGAGGCCGCGAGCACGAAGCGCGATGATCTTCGCGCGCTTAGCGGTGACATGAAGTGAGACCGGATCAGAAGGACGCGGCGCGCTAAGGACACAAGGACGGTGGACGCTAAAATTGATGACGAAGTTGGAAAACCATGGGCCAAGGCAAAGGGCAAGACAAATCTTGGACAGATACTCAACCTTTTGATCCTGCTTGACTGTATCTCGCAGACACTTGCGCATGCAGGCATGACGCACATAGCTGGTGCGCACTCCGTGGCCGGGGAGGCCCGAATCTGGAAAGGCCTTCGACGTGGTCCCTGAGGCCTGGCAGGGGCAAACAACTGCGCAACCACAGCACCACAGCCTCCCTCTCCCTCCCCTCCTCCTCCTCCTCCTCCTCTTACTCTTCCTCCTCCTCCTCTTCCTCCTCCTCCTCCTCCTCCTCCTTTCCCTCCTCCTCCTCCTCCTCCTCCTCTTCAACCTCCTCCTCTTCAACCTCCTCCTCCTCCACCACCTCCTCCGCCCCCTCTGCCTCCGCCTCCTCTTCCGCCCACGTGGAGGCCTCCCAAGTGGGGTCCGAGCAGCTGGGCTCGGCGGATCGCGCCGCATGGGCGATGCAGCGCCGATGCATCGCCGGTGTCGGCGATGCATCGACGCCGTTTGTGTGGAGAAGCTCGGGCTCCACGTCGAGCTGGATCGCCGACGCATCGGTGATGCGGCGCGCTCTTTCGAACGTTGCCCCCTGGCCTTCGGGTCATAACTCGGCTCTCCAGCAGACGATCCCGGCAACCCCAGTCGCCCTCGCCAAGGTGCAGCTGACGGAAACCTCCCTGGGTCTCGAAAACGTCCCGAAGCGCCCGAAAACTGCACGCAACTTGCCACACGTCCCGAAAACAAAACTACTCGGACCCTGTTTGGGAGTCAAGGACCCTGGACCCCTCCTCCCTCCTCCCAACCTATCTGCTCTGAGCGGGGGGAGGGCCACGAGGCTGGCGACGAAGAGAGAGGATGGACGCGACAGGCGAGGGCAGGGACGAGGAGAGCAGGCCCGAGGGGGATGAAGACTACGAGGCCCAAGGAGAAGGGCAGGCGAGGCCGCCGAAGACGAGGGGGGCCGAGGAGGGCGAGGACGCCGACGAAAACGACGACGACGAGAAGGGAGGACGGAGGAAGCAGAGGAGGAGGATGAGGAGGTGGAGGAGGAGGAGGCAGGAGAAGGCAGGAGGGAGGAGGAGGAGGGAAGAGGCAGGAGCACGCAAGAGGAAACAAAGAGGAAGCAAGAGGAGGACGGGGAAGAACAACTTGAAGAAGCAGAGGGCTTTTTGACTGTATGCATGACGCGTTGGAGGCAGCAGGATGGAGGAGGGAGAAAACAGAGGGCCAAGCTGGAGGAAGCAGGAGGACGATGATAGGGTAAGGCAATATTCCTCGGAACTGTTTTCCTGGTGATCGTGCAGCCGACTAGGCTGCGAGGAGAGGGCAGAAAGAGATGAGGTCGAGACTCCTGGCTCGCGAAATAGCCGAGCCCTCTCAAGATACAGGCAACAGGTCAGAGACTTCGAGATGACGGGCTATGAGACGCATCGCAGGGCAAATAAGCGGAGCCACTGCATATTTCCCCATCCCGAGCATCATCGCATGATCTGGTATCACCCACTCGCCCACCTATCGCTGGCGAGAGGATCCAGAAGGGATGGTAAATCCTCGGAGCCCCCCTGCTGGGCCGGCTGGCAGGGCACTGAATGGACTCCTGCAGGACCCACGACGCATCAGAAAACCAGACGAGGCCGACACAGAGACGAAAGCACGTCGTGGCCACAGCATCTCTTGCATCGGCACGCTGCCAGAAGATTTCCGTACCCACCGTCACGGGGTCGTGTCACGGGACCTGTGGGGTCAGTGGACGTGGACCTCTGACCGCATGTGTGGGGGGGCAGGTGTCCACAACCACCACTCCTCGAGCAGAAGAAGAACAGTAAGAGGAAGACGAATAACTAGTAAGAGGATGAAGAAGGAAAATAAGAAGAAAAAAAAGAAGAAGAAAAAAGGAGAAACATAATCCGCCAGCCCCCTTGTGGGGCCACAAGGCTGTAGGGCAAAGGTTTGCTGCTTTCTGCGCCAGTTGCAGGTTCCAGTTTCCAGTGTGATAGTGTTGCTTCTTGTTGTATTACCGTTCCTTGTTGTAGACCGCGCGAGGGGGGGGAGCCGAGAATCGGCCTGGTTAGCATCTCCTGGGAGGGGTCTCAGAATTTCTGGGAGAGTCGAAATTGACACCCCTCACGCAGATCGGCGGGGTCAAGGTCGAAAAACACATGGGAGTTGCCGCCACATTTCTGAAAATCGGCGGCACCCCTCACGCAGATCGGCGGAGTCAGGGTCGAAAAACCAATAGGATTTGCCACATTTCTGAAATTCGGCGGCACCCCTCATACAGATCGGCGGAGTCAGGGTCGAAAAAACAATGGGGTGTACTACACTTCGGCGGCACCCCTCACGTAGATCGGCGGGGTCGGGGTCTAAAAGCACAAAGGATTTGCAACACTTCTGAAATTCGGTGGCACCACTCCTGCAGATCGGCGGGGTCAGGGTCGAAAAACGAATGGGATGTGACACATGTCTTGAAATCCGGTGGCCCCTCTCACGCAGATCGGCGGGGTCAGGGTCCAAAAACACATTGGATGTCCTACATGTCTGACATTCCGCGGCACCCCTCACGCAGATCGGCGCGGTCAGGGTCGAAAAACCTATGGGATTTGCCACGTTTCTGAATTCCGGCGGCACCCCTCACGCAGATCGGTGAGGTCAGGGTCAAACAACACATGGGATTTGCAACATTTCGAGCGTGCGCCGCTGGATCTCCCCCTGTAGGAACCCATCCCCCCTCTCCCCCCCTTCCCCGATCCGTCGTCGGGCACCCCCCCCCCTCTCCCCCCCTTCCCCGATCCGTCGTCGGGGACCCCCCCCCTCCCCCCCTTTCCACCCCCCCTCCCCTTCTTTCAACAGGAGGGGGGGGGTCCGAACCCTCCCCCCCCTCCCCCCCTTTCGCCACGCCGCCCCCTGACGCCGGAACCCGACCCCCGCCACCCCTACCCCTAGTCCTCACCCGAACCCAAACCCCGAATCCGAACCCTAACCACTAACCCCAGCCCCAAAGGGAGTCACGGGGGGCCCCCTACCCCGTAACCACTAACCCCAACCCCCTACTCACTACCCTCTACTCACTACTCGCTATTCGCTACTCACGACTCACTACTCACTATCCACTATTCACGACCCACCACCCTCTACTCGCTACTCACTACTCCCTACTCAGTACTCCCTCCTCTCTACTCACTACTCACTCCTCACTACCCACTACTCAATACTTACTACGCACTACTCACTACTCCCTATTCACTACTCAATAATCACTACTCATTACCCACTACCTACTATCCACTACTCACTACTCACTACTAACTACTCATTGCCGACGA